TCAAAAAGATTTTAAAAAATTACATTCTTAAATGGGTTATTGAAATTTCTCAATCTCTCTCCTTTCCTTTGTCTTTTTTGGTTCTTTGAGACAAGGTCTCATTCTGTAGCCACAGCTGTGCTGGAACCTAACTCTCAATGACCTTCTTGCTTCAATCTCCCAAATGCCAGGATTAAGGCCTGAGCCACCATGGCCTGGCTCTTGACCAACCTATCTCTTATAACACTGTCTTCACCCCCATACAGTTTTCTGCTTCTACACCTTGACAACTGTGTTACTACAAAAAACTGGTACCATTTAAACTGAACAGTGAGCTGGCCCCAGTGGCAAACACCGGTAATCCCAGCACTTAGAGCACTTCCTGAGACAGGAAGGTCACAAGTTTAAAGCTAGAAAGGGCTACATAGTGAATTTAAGGCCAGCCAAGGGCTACACAGAGAGTTTCCATCTCTCCCCAACCCAACCAGAAATTCACGGGTACATTAAGCACATAGCAATCCTTTGATGCATCTCTCTAGTCAGCTCCAGCTCCCGGTATCCTCAGTGACCATTGGAAAAAAAAAAAAACAAAAAACAAAAAACAACTGTTCGGGGTCTGAGGAATTCCCCAAATTGACCACTTGGACACTGAGTCTCATCAAAAAGAAGTGCTTTATTGAGGCCAAGTGGCTGGGGACACATACAGTCTTGGGAGCTATACTGCGACCCTGAGCAGTGAAAACGCAGGGCTTTTAAGCAGAAAAACCACAAAGCGGGGGATGTCCATAGAAACTCTACACAGAATAACCAGGAAAGGATTGGAACAATGTAGGGCTGATTTCCAGAGACTTTACCTATACAGCCATTGGCTATCTTACCTGGGGCAGAACATTCTTTCTCTTCTGCCCCAGATTATTCCCATAGAAACCATACAAAGATGTATCAGGTATACTGCCATTGGCTAGCTTACCTCGGGCAGAACGTTCTATCTCTTCTGCTCCAGACCATTTCCATAGAAATCATAAACAGATACCAGGAAAGGGTTTGAACAATGAAGGGAGTTCCAGAGTCAGGTGGAGGGCAGCTTTCTCTCAGAGGCTAGGGAGGGGGTCTGAGGGGCACTCTCCTTCACAACAAAATTAGTAAGATGGCAAGATGGTTCAGTGGGTAAAGCACTTACTGAGCAAGTCAGATGACCTGAGTTCAATCTCCAGAACCCACCCACGTAAAGGTGGAAGGAGAGAACCAATTCCACAAAGGTCCCTTTAACCTTCTGACCTTCACACGTGTTTTGACATGTGTGTACCCACACATACGTTATACACATACACACAATAGTAATATATTTTAATAATAAAAAGAGACTAGCCTGGACTACACAGAAAGTTTGGAGCAAACCTGGGTTATAGACTAAGAATTTGTCTCAAAAAACACAAACAAAAACCAGAGCCGGGTGGATGGCTCAGGCGGTAAAGACCCTACTGTGTGAGCATGAGGATCAACCTGAGTTTGAACTCCCAGAGCCATCTTCATTTTCTCACATTCACATTCTCTTTCTCTTTTGTGTGTGTGCACATGCATGCCACTATCTGGTGACTCAAGTGTGCCTTGCTCAGCAGGGAACCTCGCTCTCGTGAAGGATGGCAATACTGACCAGCGACAGAGTCTTGGACCCTGGGATTTGTGTCTTTTCAACAAGCCGTTAATTTCAAAATTCAGATTTTTTTTGTTTTGTTTTGTTTTTTTGTCTGAGACAGGGTGTCCTTGTAGCCCCAGCTCTCCTGGAACTTGCTATGTAGACCAGATTGGCCTCGAACTCACAAAGATCTGCCTGCCTCTGCCTCCCAAGTGCTGGGATTAAAGGCGAGCGCCACCACGCCCGGCTCAGACGGTTTTTATACATCCCAACAAACTGGCAGTCACATACAAAGATTTAGGGTACAAAGAAACAGGACATATAGCCTGTTAGTTGGTGCCAGAGGATGCTTAAACTTTTACTCAAGGTTATCAATGCCCATCCAGTAATTTATTGGCCACAATGTTTTCTTTCTTAGAGTTAAAAGCATGGTGAACTTTCAGCTTTTAGCTCAAGAGTAAACCTTTAACCTGGCCTAATTTCTTAGCCAAGGATAGCTGAGTTATTGTTCAGGACAAGGAGATGAGCTAAGGGTTGTTGACGAAGACACTTTCCCACAGAGCAGGGAGCCTGCATTTATGACCAGACCGCTGTCTCCTGCCAGATTGTCAGTGTTCTGTAAGACAGGGATTATCAGAGATACTGTTTTCAGCACCCCTCCCTTTAGCAGAGAATGCAGCCTGCACTTATAGGCTCAATGGGGTTGGAGAGATGGCTCAGCAGTTAAGAACACTGGTTGTTCTTGAAGAAGACCCAGGTTCAAATCCCAGCACCTACATGGCAGCTAACAACTGTCCATAACTCCAGTCCCAGGGGATCCGACAACCTCTTCTGGCCTCCGTGGGCATTGCACAACACGGGCGCACTTACTTACATGCAGGCAATACACACATACACATAAAAAAAAAAAAAAAAAAAATTTGGGCTCATCTCATCTTAGGGCCTGGCATCCTGGTTTCTTACATGCCACTTCATGCATGTGATGACAGATGATAATTCTTGGAGTAGGTTTTCTACCATGTCGTTCTCAGGGAATCAGGTTGTCTGGCTTGGTGGCAAGTGCTTTTACCATCTGGCAGACACAGTGGTGCATGCCTGTAACTCCAGTGCTGGTGGGGGTGGGGTGGAGACAGGCAGGTCTCTGAAGCCTGTAGCCAGCCAGTCTATCCAAATCAGTGAGCTTCAGGTTCATTGAGGCCCTGTCTCAAAAAGTAATGGTGGAGTATGATTAATAGGAAAGATATCTGATGTCAACTTCTGGCCTCCACACGTATGCATGTACACTATACACACCCACACTAACAAGTACATATAAAACACACAACAAACCAAAACACTTGAACAGAAAGGTTTAGAGTGAAGGGCGAGCCCCACCCACTTCCTCTCTAGAGCTTCCTGCAGTCACTTTTTCATACTCTGTAAGTATGCCAGCAAAGATGTGTATCCTCCTTTGTCCCTCCAAAGTGAAATCAAACCCTTTCTACTGTTTAATGCCTATTTTTCAAGAATATCTTTCCATACCAGCACACATTTTCCTAAGAGCTGTGTATTTTTTCAGATACTATTATTTAAAACCCCTTTGCTACTGGTGGGCACTTTAGCTCATTTCCAGTTCCTCATTATCTAAGAGATCTCTCCCTACATAAGGCAATTGCTTCTACCTATGTTGGTTAACATCCCCTCCTATTTCACAGGTCCTCTAGCAAATTATCCTTACCTTTTCCATCCCCTCCTATACTGCTTTTCCCCCTAAGCCATGTAAGCACACTTATTTCCCATCTTGACTTTCTCTTGCTCTACTGATGCCTCCTACCTCTACCTCCCGAGTTGCTGGGATTACGGGTGTGTGCCACCAGTTTACTCCGTGCTGGGGATTGTACCTTTTGTGTTCTAGGTAAACACTCTACCTACTGAGCCACAGCCCCAGCTTGTTTGTTCTCTGAGGCAGGGTCTCACTCCAGCCCAGGCTCACCTTGAACTCGGTGAGCCACCACAACCGATCTTTCTCTTAAAGCCCCTTTCTTGGTTTGAGACATACCACTCTGCAGGTTTTCTATTTTTGACAGTCCATAAATATTGGTCTAGACCAAGATTTGGTCCTTCATCTTACTCTAATTTTTATGTTTCTTGGGTGAAGTCACCTACTCAAATCCTAAGCTTTATACAGGCATGTCAAACCCAAATGCTTCTGACCATTTCCCATGCCTTCAATCCTCAACCTTTGTAGTGTATAGGATAATTCAGAAACACAGATTCCATGCTTTACTTTCCATCATCCAGTCATTAAGACATAACTCTCATTCCATTCCTATTGCCAGTGACTCCATTATAATTTAGGTCTCAATCATGTGTCTTACCATCTGGCACTCTTCTCCACCCACATTTATACTGCTACCAGAGGGCTGCTTTAAAAATGACTATTTGATCCTGAAGCTTGGAATCTTATTACCTATATTCCACTCAACCAGAACCACCTAGAGTTTCATGAACATGTTTTATGCTCATACATTTTCTTCCCTCTTAACAGAGTGTTCTTCCAATCATGGCCTCTATGACTACCTGTTAAACTCCTGCCTATTCATCAGCTATTGTCTTTTTCCTAAGACAGGGTCTTGCTCTGTAGCCAGACTGGCCTCTACTAACAACTTTCTTTTGCCTCGGCTTCCCAAGTGTTGGGATTACAGGTGCGCACCACATGCCTGGCTTCATAATTCATCTTTTTCAGTCTTCTCTGTGAAGCATTACTGTACTTTCCTCAAAAGCAGAGTCCAGTACTTCTCACCTGTACATTTTTTTTGCAAGGATTACTTTTTATTCCACTGACATATTTACATACCTTTCATTCTAGATCTTTAGATCCTTGCAATCAGAAACCATCCTATATTAGCATATGTCACACTACTTGATAGTCTGTGTGGTATGAAAATGAATGAATACCACATACCCATCTAGTCTCGCAAATCAAAATTCTAGAAAACACTTTCCAGTCTTCCTTCTCCATCCTGAATGCCAACTAGTTATAAAGTCCTGCTGGCTGGCTCTAATCCTTTCTGAAGATGTCTCAAATCCATCCCCCTTCTCCCTAGCCCAATGTCACGCGCCTACTTTGGTTCCAGTCCCCTTAATTTGATCTACATTAGATCCTCCTTTGGCACTACTCTGCACACTATGGCTGGTAATTTAAAACATTTTTTAAAGATTTATTTTTATTCACATGTATATGTGCCTGTCTATGTGTGGCTGTGTACATGTGTGCCATGTGAGTGGGGAGGCCAGCAGAGGGCATCTGATCCCCTGGAACTAGAGTTACAGGCAGTTGGGTGCTGGGATCTGACCTCAGGTCCTCTGGAAGAGCAGTAAATGCTTCTTACTGTTGAGTCATCTCTCCAGCCCCAATTCTTAAAATTTTATTACAAAAATAATACATAAAAATTCAAACAATACAGAAATAAAAACACAATACCCACCACCCACTATACATAAACCAAACAATACAGAAATAAAAACACAATACCCACCACCCACTATACATAAACCACATCAACCACTTCTCTCCATCCTCATTCCTCAGAGGTTATCACTGTGAACAATTTAACATATATCCTTTCACATTTTTTCCTTTGTACATACATATATAAACACATATAATTATAGATCCATAATTGTGTCTTCTACAAAAGTGGGATCATAGATGTCTATTACATGATTCTTTCGTTTGTCCTCATTCGATAATACAGAAAATTCCTAAAACAAATCAGAAGCCTTCCCTGGCTTTCATACATGATTTTTTCTCTACTTTTCCCTTATACTTTACAGCTTACTTACTACTGAGACCAGGCTGGCATCCAACTCTCAATGATCTACCCATCTCTGCCTCCTGAGCGCTGGAATTAAAGGCTTGCACCACCACACCCAGTTACAGCTTACTTCTTCGTTTGTTTCACAGTCCTATAATGATTTATTAACATGTTTTGAATTCTACACCCATCTCCCCCAACTTGATGGTGAGCTCTTTTATTGCCTTTGCATCCCAAGGACCTGATAAGAGTGCTCAGCATGGGGCAGATACTCAGTACTGTATCTGTTGAGATTGCATGATTTAAGAACATTTACCTACTTAGCACAGAACTATATCCTAAGTATAAAAAGAAACAAGACAGTCTCTGTCCTAAGGAACCATTTTCCTAACAGTTCTCCTAGGGGGGTGGAAAGCAAATTCACATGGCAACATATCATTGCTGACACACAGGCTGTTTCAAAGGTACACAGCCACGTCTCTCTATTCCTTTTAGGAACAAGGGATTGTACATCCAAATAAATAATACATTAACAGGCAGATATCCAATAGATTTGCTTTTTAAGCGTGGCACAGAGCCCATCAGCACCTAATTCTCTGTTCCAGCAGGGGGCTGGTTCTCACCTATTCCAGCCTGCAAATTAGAAAGTGAAATGGTGTCATGACTAGATTTCTAATGTATCAGAAGGACAAAAAGTCATTAGTCCTTTCATAATTTTGCTTCTTTCCCAGGGAAAAATTATATACCAAGAGGAATAAATGGCATTACAGGAGAGAATTGGAGAAAAGTGTTTGCTCTCTCTTTCTGGTAAAGGTTGGGGGAATTATTATTATTATTATTATTATTCTCAAAGCTAAGGTGTTAATCTGGTAATTACATGATCAGACACTGTACAAATATAAATAAGTTGGGGAAAGGAAGCCACTTAGGATGGAAAACAGAAAACAGGGAAGGCAGACCAAGGAGGCCCAAAGGAAGCCTCATTCATCAGAGTCCAAGTCACTGTCCCCAGCAATGGAGTGGAAATCCTCACTGTCCTCCTCATCCTCTGACAGATGGACCTGGTTTAAGACACTCGGCCCAGAGCGTTGTTCTTCTTCCTCATCTTCTTCTTCCTCTGAAACCTCATACCCACCGATGCTGCTGAAGCTTGTGTCTTGAGTGTTTGACTTGGGATCAGGCTCCTCATAACTCCCATAACTGAGAAGAGAAACATGTCATCTCTCAAGCTTGGGCACCACCCCTTGGTTAACCATTCCCATATCACTTCCCATGGACACTGAAAGAACTGGTTTTACACTGTTCTATAAGACCCTAAGAAAAAATGATCCTGTTCAAAAACATCAACTTACGAACTTCAAGTATACAAAAACCTGAAAAAAACTCCCTTACACTGACACACACACTGCCAGTTTACCATGACCCAGTCTCACTGTTTCATCTACTACTTGATTTTACTCATCTATGCATCCCAAACAGTTCTGAAGAACCTCCCTTTAAAGTATCTTGACTCAGGCTGGAGAGATGGCTCAGTGGTTAAGAACACTGGTTGTTCTTGCAGAAGACCCAGGTTCGAATCCCAGGACCCACAGGGCAGCTAACAACTGTCCATATGTCCAGTCCCAGGGGATCAGACACCCTCTTCTGACCTCTGCAGGCATTGCATGACACAGGTGCATTTACATACATGCACACAAAACACTCATACACATTAAATAAATAAATAAATAAATAAATAAATAAGTAAAATATCTTGTCTCTATTGCCTCCTGCTATCCCTACTCTGCTTGCTTTGGCTTAGTCCTTTGTTAATTCTGGCCTGCACTACTGAAATAAGTATTCATGCCTCTTGTATTGATTTCCTTCAATTAATTCTTCACTTGGCTAGAGTGCTGTATTTTTTTAAAATTTTATTTTATTTTTTAATGTGTGGATGCTGCGAACCGAACCCCAGTCCTCTGGAAGAGAAGCCAACACTCTTAACCACTGAGCCATCTCTTCAGTCCCTGGCTTATTTTTAATTTTACTTCTGAAAAAAAAATCACGCAAATGCACATTCACTGATAAAAAATAAAATTAGCGCATACACTAGAAAAAAATAAAGAAAAAAAAAATCACCAGTAACTCCAACATCTAGAGATAGTGTTTTGGTAAATGACCTATTTTTTTCTGCGAAGTTTGGATAAATTTATTTTGGTCTTTTCTTTTTTTTTGGTCTTTTTGAGACAGGGTCTCCCTGTAGCCCCAGCTGTCCTGGAACTCACTATGTAGACAAGGTTGGCCTTGAACTCACAGAGATCCGCCTGCCTCTGCCTCCTGAGTGCTGGGACTAAAGGTGTATGATGCCTCGCCCAGCAGGATAATTAAATATTTTTTAATTTACAAATGAAATATCCTACATATTCCTCAGAAATCTGCTTTGTACACTAAGGATTAAATGTGGGTCTAGAGCATAATATTTGTTTTTGTTTTTTTTTTTTTTCTTGAGATAAGGTCTCACTATGCAGCTTGGGCTGGCCTCAAACTTGCAGTCCTCTGGTCTCAGCCTACTAAGTGCTGGGATTACAGTGTGCCAGTTTTAAGGCATAATCTTAACAGATACATGGTATTCTGCTATATGGCTGTAACATAATAGTCTCTCACTAGGGCATTTTAAGCTGTCTCTAATTTTTCCACTATTAGAAGCAGTGGCTGGAGAGATGGTTCAGAGGTTCTTCCAGAGGACCTGAGTTCAGTTTCCAGCACCCACATGGCAGCTCTGAATAGTCCATAACTCCTTATTTCTGGCCTCTGCAGGCACTGCATGCAAGTGTCACCACTTGACACATGCAGGTAAACCACTCATACACATAGTAAAAGTTTTTAAAAAGAAATGATGGGCTGTGACAAAAATCTTTTTTTGGGGGGTCTTTTTGAGACAGGGTCTCCTTGTAGCCCTAGCTGGCCTGGATTCGCTATGGAGCCCAGGCTGGCCTCGAACTCACAGAGATCCGCCTGCCTCTGCCTCACGCCCGG